GAGAAGCCAGGTCCCCTGCTCCTGCTCCCTCTGACTCTCTCTCTTGGTGGTGGTTCTGTAGTTTGGAGCAATGCACAGTGGGCCAAAGTCCCAGGCAACTCTGAGCTGAGTGTCAACAAAGAGGAGGTAAATGTGCCTAATGCTAACTGAGCATATAAAATTGTAACACTTGCAATTTTCTTTGGGTATATTGGAGCCTGTGACTTTCCCCCCCAAGTCTCACATAGTTTCTTAAGTCCCTGAGAAGCTCAGGCCCGAGGCCTTAACCTGTGGAGCCAGAGGGATGAAGGACCCAGAAAGGAGTGCCATTCCTCAGCTGGGATCTTCTTTCCTGAGTTTCTACAGTCCCCTCACCCCACCCAGGGCCCCTGTCAGGTTTGGTGACACTACAAGGGGAGTGACTCTGACTGGCTGACAAATTAGGGAACATTGAATCACATGATCTTTTCTTATTCAAAGCCATTTGAAAGCAGATTAACAAGTCAGCTGGGTTTTATAGTCCTGCCAAATTCCTTTACCTGGCTTACCCAATAAGATCAGGCCAGTTTTCTTTCCTCTCCTCTTATTATTAACATGATAGTGTGAATGTAATGCTATTGAAGCCAGAACTATAGTGCACATGTGGCATTTCTTTGGCTACTTAACATGGGTTCTGTTCCACCTTCCAGATGACATCTGATTTCTTTTAGGAAATGACCTCCTACACGTGTATGCAGTCTTAGTGGGGTATCCACCCAGGGGCCTGCTCCCCACCAGAGAAGCTCTTGCAGAGACCAGCCCTGAGGGTGGATATTTGGTCTAAATTCAGCCAATCAGATAGACTCCTCTGGAACTTTGGGCCTTGAACAAGTGACACAAGGACCTCAGGAACCACACTGAGGCCAGGGAGCCACGCCAAACAGACTGAATTGCCTGTTCCTGACCTTCTAGATTCTCCTCAGTTCCTGCCCATGTCTAGGCCTGGCCCTTGACTCTTCGGGTTAGTGAATACCCTATCTTTCAATACATTCCCATTTGATTCCATTAGCTCAAACTGGTTTGCTTGTAGCCAAGAATCCTGGTATAAGATCCCTTCTTGACATACCTCACACATGGGTCTGCAGTCTTTAAGTCTATCCTGTCTGGAGTGTTCTAGCATTGGCTTAAACTAGCTCTTTCCTCCATTGGTGACAGCCTACAGACCACAGGACTGGCTTTCTTTTAGTGGGTACTGATAGAAAATATTCTTCTAGATTTCTAGTCCTTCCAGTTTCTCATTATCAAAACAAGAATTCAAACAAAACTCATCAGAACTTCTCTCCAACAGCTGTCATTAATGTGAGGTCTCCCTTCTCCTGCCCAGGACCACCCGCTCAGGAATCCAGCTCTCTCAGGCAAACATATTGCCAACGTTTCTTTACCAGAATAGCTAAAATTAAAAAGATGGACCAAACCCAGTGTTTGCAAGGATATGGAGCAACTCCAACTTTAACACATTTTGTTGGTGGGTGTGTAGAATGCTACAATTGCTTAGGAAATCTGTTTGATGGTGTCTCATCAAGTTAAATACATACCTACTCTTTGACCCAGCAGTTGCATCTCTAGGTAGATATTCAAGAAAAAATTAGCCTTCCCAAAAATTTGTACAAGAGTGTTCTTGGCACCCTTATTCGTAATAGCCAGGAACTGGAAACAAGCAATAGGTATGAATCTCAAAAAAATTAGATTGAGCCAAAGAAGCCAGAATCCATATGACTCCATTTATATGAAGCTTGAAACAGGAAGAAACAATTTATGGTAGTGAGAGCAGTGGTTACCTTTGGGGGAATATTGACTAGGAAGAGGCACAGGGAGCCTTCTGAAGTACTGGGATTTATTTAATCTCTGTGGCAGAAACATGGATATATACATCTATAAAAATTCATTAAGCTATACAGTTAAGATTTGTATACTCCATTGTGTGTATGTTACACTTCAATAAAGAAGATGAAAAGATAAAATGAGCATGTGATTATATCCTATAATTTAAATATCCACAGTTCTATAATTTAAATATATTTTGTGAATTCTACGCTCAAATTAGATTTAAATCCCAATCTCATATATGATGTTGAGAACGGTTTGAAAAACTTTTGTATTTTTTCCCTCCGTTCTTTGTTTATATCAAGGCAATAGGAAGCTAATGTATTTCCCCTTCCAGGAGTATTTTTATGTTCAAAGGAAAACCATTGGGAGAAAGTAATAATTAACACAAAGGAATGACTGGCTTAATGGTGGGCTTTCAGGCATCCGTAGAGGAGGTATTTCAGGTCAAAGGAGGGTCAAGAGAATCTCCCAGAGTATTCCACACTGAATGGGTAGAAACAAGCAACAAAGTCCTGATAGACATTTCTGGTGATCCACCGGTGGGGCCAATAGCCTATGGTGTTCTGATCTTTGGATGGAAAAATCAGCCTACTGGTTTCCAGAAGATAAGAGGAGTTTGTCTCCTGGGGCTGGTCATTTCCTCCAAAGCTGAGGGTGGGGAGATTTTGTGGGCAGCTTTCCCTCCCCACTGAGAAGAGAACAGAAAGCAGGAAATAGAAAGGCCAGGATAGAGGATGCAGAAGCGAGGATGAACATGGAAAAGCCCAGGGGCGAGTGAGTGTGGGCTATGCCCATAGGGGTCAGACAGAAGATACAGCAGGGGCATGGGGAGACAAGGGGAGCCCAGCAGAAAGTAAAATGAAAACAGAGACAGTGCAGGTGAAGGAGACCCCTCTCCGCTTGGCCTCTGCAGCCTGCGCGTCCCCTCTCCCCTCCCAGAACAGCTGGGCACTGGCAAGGGGCCTCCTGGCTCCATCCTTGCCCTTCCCAAGTTTTCCACCCCCTCCACTATGCCTGCAGCAGCCCAGTGGTTTTCCTAAAACATCATCTCATCACATTATTCCTCAGCTTAAAACTACTTAATAGCTCAAAATCATCTCTTTTAAAAGTCCAAGCTCCTTAATGTTGCCTGCCAGGAGCCTCTCATGCCTTGTCCTCGCTTGCTCCTCAGCCTCATCTGTTTCGTGAATAACGGGTGACTGTGTTCAGTGAATTTTATTTATACTGTAGGCCCCGTTCTCCGTGGGTTTGCTTTCTACAGTTTCGGTTCCACGCGGTCAACGAAGGTTGGGAAACAGACGATCCTCCTCCTGACACACGATCAGAGGTCAGTAGTAGCCTAACACTACGTCCCAGTGTCTACACCTCTCACCTCCCTTCATCCCATCATGTAGGCATTTTATCATCGATTGCGAGAAGCGTGACTACAGTACAGTAAGATACTCTATGAAAGAGAGACCATATTCACCTAACTCTTATTACAGCATATTGTTATAATTGTTCTATTTTATTAGCAGTGAGTGTTAATTTCCTACTGGGCCTAATTTAGAAATTAAACTTTATCAGGGGTGAGTATGTATAAAGAAAACAGCATAGATGGGGTTTGGTACTATCTGCAGTTTTGGGCATCCACTGGGGGCCCAGGAATGTATGCCCCATGGGTGAGGGGGGAACTGCTGTAATCCTCTTCCTGGCTAGAGCTGTCTAGTTGCCCTTTAAGAACACTAGGAAGGTACACCGATTGTATTTTCACAAGCAGCTCCAGGAGAACCTCCATGAGCGAGTATCTCTCGGTGCCCTAGGGCCCCGGACAGGACTCGATTCCTCCAACTACCTTAACCCTTCCCTGTTGACAGGGGCAGGAAGTTGGCATCACCTAATTGAGGTTTGAATAAAGGGAGTAACCCATTACCTATGACTCTCATCGAGGACGTTGGTTCTGGCAGAGAAAGCCCTCTCTTCTGCTGTCTAAATCCTGGCTACTCTTCAAGAGTCATCTCAAATACCATGTCTATCATGTCCATTCAGGCTCAGAAATGAGGCTTTTCTGATATTTTGACAGCAGTGTGGCTTGTAGGGAGAGGGAAGAGCTTGAGACCAGAAGCTGGCAGGCTTTGGGATGGTGAGTGGGGTGTTTGTGGTCCAAGGTCCAGTCTTTAGGGGCCCCCAGTGAAAAGGCTTAGCTTCTGCAGGCATCAGTCAGTAACCCTGAGGGTCCAGACGCCTGCTGGGGCAGAGACGCCGGCAGCTCTGGCAGGGGACCAGTGCTGAAATTAAGGATCTCCTCGTCGGGGTGGTTCCAGGTGGCCAGTTGCTTTAGAGCAGGCATCCACCTGGGGACCCGGAACTGTGATTCAGGTGTCTGATGGAAGAGAGGCAAGTGTGAGCAAGGCAGGGGGTCTGGGCAAGGGGATCAGAGCCCAGTCCTGCAGACCAAGTCGACCCTCCAGGGAGAGCTCAGAGAAGGTGGCAATGCTATGGGTCTCAGGTGTTAAGAGTCCTGGTGGATGCCACAGCAGTGAACTGTCAACAAACCACAAATTCCCACCTGACCAGCTTCCAGTCACCCCGACCAGAGCCCAAGAATGGCTGAGCTTGAGGTCAGAGGGTGTGGTGAGCAGCAGCTACACCGGGCTCTGGGAGGCAAGGGCTGTGCCTCTTCTGACGTATGCTCTGATCTCCTCCCCCCATCACCATGATGTTCACTGGCACCTCTCCTTACTTTGTGATCTCCTCCTGGAAATAACCCCACAGCAGGTAGCAGAGGGCCAGGCACACACAGTACATAAAGATAGGTTGGATCAAATTGCATTTAGCTCATTGGCAGCTCGGGCTTTGGCCTGCACTACACTGTCCAGCCCAGTCCTTTTCCAGAGTTTTTTTTTTTAAGATTTCATTTATTTATTTGACAGAGAGTGAGATCACAAGTAGGCAGAGAGGTGGGCAGAGAGAGAGAGAAGGAAGCAGGCTCCCCGCTGAGCAGAGAGCCCCTTGCGGGACTCGATCCCAGGACTCTGAGATCATGACCCCAGCCGAAGGCAGAGGCTCAACCCACTGAGCCACCCAGGCACCCTCCAGATTTTTTCTACATCACGGATCAGGACTCCTCTTCTTCTGTGCGTAGAAGAATGGCACCACAGTTCCTCTCCATCCTCATGGTGGGGAGGGGAAGAGCTGGGACCCGTAGGAAATGGAGGGCAGTGCATTGTGTCCCACACCCTGCCTTCCTCTGCCCCTCAGCCAAAGTGATCTATTTCTTCTTCCTTTCTGTCCCCGGCATCAGTGGAAAACTGGAGCTGGTTGCCATGGAGACCAGCCACCGACTTCAGAGTGCCTGTTTATTAAAGATGAAAGTAATGTATGCCTGGCTGATCTGAGCAGCTGTCAGAGATTCGACTGTTAGCAGAGGAAGTCACTAATTTCGAGGCATAATCACTCATCTAAGAGAGAGAGGGCCCCCCTTCATCTTCCGAGTGGAGCTGGGCCCTGTGGGTAAGGACCGCCCCAGTGGGCGTTTCTTGTCCTTTCCTTCCTTCCTTCCTTGTTCTGTTTGTTTCTTTCTTCCTTGTTTATTTTATGACTAACATGGTAATGGTACTTCTTTTCTCCCTTATTTCCTACTCAAAATATATAGTCTTGCGGTCATGTGATAGACTAATTCAACTTCGTGGGCAGGCCCAGGAAACCCAAACCCTCTCATGACGTTGTTTCCTTTGGAAAGTGTATTCTGGATTCCAAGCCACCTACTTACAAATGAGGCTGTCTGTTTGTTCATTCAAGTCTCCGCCAGGCGTGCAAGAGCAGAAGAGGTGGGGCTGAGCCCCGCGGAGAGCAGCCTTGATGGACATTGCATGCCCTTCGACAGGTGGGAGAAGCAGGCACCTTCCGAGGGAGGCAGTAAATTAGAAGAGAGGTGGGGGGGGGGTCTTGCATCTTTTGGCCAAATGAGCTGTGTGATCTTCAGAAAACAAGTCACTTTCTTTTTGTCTTTTGCTCTTTTCATTCATGCAGTGATAAAATCTGAGAGTAAATCTGAATCCCAAGATTCACAATTTAGATTCACCAAGTGCTCTCCAAAGCTGACGGAGCAAACTGGGCTGATCACTGCTGGTCTGTAAGGAGTGGCCGTGCCCTCGGGGAGTGCTCCGGGAGCCAAGAGGCTGCTGGGAGATGATCCCCGCTGTCTCATCACAGCATAGCCAACTCGCTCATCCCTTCTGCCCTCAGTTTCCTCATCTGAAAGAGAAGGGAGGAGTAAGCTAATTCTAACTAGTCTTTCATTCCATAGACACTTAAGTGTGGGCTTCCGTGAACTGAAAGTGTTCCTAACGCTGGACAGCTGAACAGGGGTTAACCCCGGGTCTAGGTCACTGTTAACCAAGTACAATCTGTACCTCTGGTCAAGGTTGTCTCAGGCCAAGGCAGGTGCTTGTTTCCATCTCTTGGTGTCAGTGTGCAGGCACTTCTGTGGCAGGTCTGGGAAGGAGCCCCTGTCCCATTTCTCTTGAGCTGCCCTGTGTCTGAGAATGAAGATGGAGCATGAAGCTAAAGAATGGAAGTGAGTATCATCAGGGCTTTAAAAAAAAAAAAAATTATTAATTTATTTGACAGAGGGGGGGCACAAGCAGGGAAGAGCAGAAGAGAGAAATGGAGAAGCAGACTCCTGCTGAGCAGGGAGCCCAACACGGGCTTGATCCCAGGATCCTGGGATCATGACCTGAGCCAAAGACAGATGCACCCTTCATCAGTGCCTTTAGAACAGAGTGCGCCCAGAACCCAGATTAGCCTGGGCTCCAGCAAGGCAGCTTCCAGGCAGGCAGGCCTCAGAACTGCCAGCAGCAGTCCCCTGGAAACTATTACTTCTCACCTGCTCCGTACCTCAGGTAGGCAAAACAGCTGTCTCATGTCACTGTGATGCTTCCTCCTTTCCCTGCGTTCATCCTGACACCATTTTTTCTAAAGGACATGCACAGTCTTAGGTTTGCATGTTTTATTGAAGGAAATTTGAATCCCATTTATGGAATGCCGACATAGGTCATAAATGAACGCTTTTTATAAATACATGTATTTTTTAAAAAATTAATGCCAATTGTATAAAACAGGAGAGGAAGGGAAGAATACTCATTCATCCAACCATCCATTTAACAATTACTCATGGTAGGTACTTACTATGAGTCAGGTGTATTTATGAGATAAATCAAGGAGTATACACTTATTTTTCTTAAAACCTGCTTTATTGAGGTTTATAATTTATATGCAAGAAATGCACCCATTTTATGTGTACAGTTTGATGCATTTTGACAATCACAGTCAAGATATGGAACCTTTCCATTACCCCCAGAAAGTTTTTTTTTACTGTTTTGCTGTCAATTCTCTCCTCCTTTCCAACCCCCAAACCCCAGCCAAACCAATGCTGTCATTTTACTTGTACCTTTCTAGAAGGCCAAATAAGGGACATAAGTTGTATTAGAGAATACAGCTTAAAAAATAAATAGGCATTTGTGCTCCCAGAGAGTGAGGCAGGAGCTTTGATATGGGACATGTAGACTGTGCTGCTGGAACACATAAGTGATGTGAGGAGACTTGGAAGCTGAGGTCTGAAGGCCTAATAACAGTGAATCAGGTGAGCAGGAGTGAGAGTTAGGAGTGTTTCAAGCTGTGGGAACATTATACAGCAAGGCCAGGAGGAGAGAGCGTGCCAGACAAGTTTACTGGGACCTGAAAGTTTCCATAGCTTGGGGATGGAGTGTGAAGGGGTTACAAGTGGCAAGTCAAGAATCTTTTTTTTTTTTTTTAAGATTTTATTTATTTATTTGACAGGCAGAGATCACAAGTAGGCAGAGAGGCAGGCAGAGAGAAAGGGTGGGGGGAGCAGGCTCCCTGCTGAGCAGAGAGCCCGATGTGGGGCTTCATCCCAGGACCCTGGGATCATGACCTGAGCCAAAGGCAGAGGCTTTAACCCACTGAGCCACCCACTGAGCCACCTAGGCGCCCCGCAAGTCAAGAATCTTAAGAGATAAACCCATTCAAGCAAAGAAAGTCCTTATAAGCCTGGTTTGCCTTTATTCCAAGGCAATGGGGAACCATGGAAGGATGTTAAACAGGAAAGCAAGGGCCTTGGATTTGCATGTGAGAAGGATCGCTCTTCCTGCATGTGGGAAATATTAAGGGCCAGGCAGGAGGACCTGAATAAGAGGCTGGTGCAGCGATCTGAATGAGAGGTGCTGGCAAGCAGGGACAGGAAAGTGGCAGGTGGTGGGAACGGAGAGAAGTAGATAAATACGGGAGAGATCTGGGAGGCGGAAATGAAGGGAATGAATGACTCATTGGAAGTAGAGACAGTGAGTGAGAAAGGCATTGAGGAGAATTCCTCGGTTTCAAATCGGATGCCTGTGAGGAAGACGGTGGCATTCACTGAGACAGAGAACTCTGTGTGTGGGCAGGGGTGGAGGGGTGGGCAGAGGAGACAACATACTCCACTTTGGATACCACTTTGTTGGTGGGGGGTGGAGCATCCCGGAAGATGATGTCAGCAGTCAGAGCTGTGAGTCTAGAGCTCGGAGACCCACACTGAGCCCACTCTTCTCCACTCTCTGTAATCTGGCTTCTGGGTTCTTCCATCGAGTTGACCTACTGAAGACTAAAGGATTTATCCTGTAAAGCAGAACCTTTCTTTGTAAGAATAGGATTTGTTTCTTGTGTAGTTAGGTATAGGGAGATTTGTTCCCATGTGGTAATCCTTGGGAAAACTGGAAAGTAACTTTCAGTGAGCTTTTCTCCTCTCCTCTTTCCCAGTACAACCCATCAGGCAGCACCGGAGTATCTTTTAGGTGGAGAAAGAGACATGGAGGAAGTGAGCACACCAGGACGGCTCAGACCTAAGCTTTCTAATCCCAAATCCCTCAGGAGCCTGGATGTTACCCGTTCCAGGACATGGTGCTGAGAGGTTATATATGGTGGCATCAATAAAATGAAGCCCATAAACATGTTTCAACGAATAGAATCTACAAGTGGGTTAAACTGTCGAATGAAAACCTTTTCTTTTCCAAACTCCTTTCCTTTTTTTCAAACTGAGCCATATTAAGAAAACTCATTTCAATTTTATTGTTTGTTTTGTTTTGCTTTGCTTTGTCAGGGAAAGATGGGAAGAACCTAATCCCAGGAGCTGCTATGGGGGCTGGAAACGGACACAGCGCTCGGCTGGTGGCGGCAGAGCTCTTCAGAGGGAAAACCATTTTGTCCCCATTTGAGGCCCAGGGAAGCCATGATCTTTTAAGAAACTCATAGAAATTCCAACTGAGAGAAAATTAGTATGGAATTCTGTAAGCAATTTCCTTCCTTTCACAGAATTCACAATCTAAAATGCAAGAGCCCAGGGCACCTGGCTGGCTCTGTCGGGGGAGACCGCCACTCTTGATCTCGGGGTTGTGGGTTCAAGCCCCATGCTGGCTGAAGTGATTACTTAAAAATAAAATCTGAAAAAAAAAAAAAAAAAAAAAAGTAAAAGCCCATTCTTTGGCAGTTCTTCTAGAGGCTTGGTGTGAGTGAGCCAGAGATCTGTAGCATGCAGACCAGGCTTGTCCTGGGTTCCTTTCCTTGCCACAGATGGAAGTGAATCACAGATCCTCTGCTCCCAGGCGTGGATACTGTTTCCTCTCATCCCAACAAGAATTCAGGCAACCTTGATTTCATCGGGCATATGTCATTAGCTTATCAGAGGCTCAAGTGGGACTGCTCTGAAGTGATCTGTGCTTAAAAACTACCTCACCGGGGCACCTGGGTGGCTCAGTGGGTTAAAGCCTCTGCCTTCGGCTCAGGTCACAATCCCAGGGTTCTGGGATCGAGCTCCACATCAGGCTCTCTCCTCAGCAGGGAGCCTGCGTCCTCTACTCTCTCTCTCCCTGCCTCTCTGCCTACTTGTGATCTCTGTCAAGTAAATAAATAAAATCTTAAAAAAAAAAAAAAAAAGAACTACCTCACCCCCAGCCCCCTAACCAGGGGGATGGAAAGGACCTCTCTGTCACCTGCGCAGACCAGGAGTCACCAGCACTCTTGCCTGCCTGCTTGAGAACACTTACACATTTGCTTATTCGATTCTTTTTCTCTCTGCTCTCCCTTGGACTGACATGCATAGCCAGTCCTCATAGTTGTTTATCAGTTCTCCAAGCCTATTTTAAAAGATCTCTGCTTTCATTTAAAACCTAAGTCACATTCTTCTTGCATCCGCTGCTGTACTTCCCGAAGGGGTTGTGTCAAAGGAAATTCAACACCCACTTTCCTCACGATCGGCTCCCCGGCTTGCTCGCTCATCAGAAGGCTCGTGCTATTTGATACTTAAGAAGATTATGTTCCCTGTTAGGTGACGTGTCAAGGGAAGGGGAGCTGGCTCCAGCGTCAGGTGACTGAGTTTTGCTCCCGTTTCTACTGTTGACTCAATCAATGTCCTTGGGCAAGTCATTGAGTCTTTATCATGCTGCGGTCTCTGGGGATGAAATCTGCCAACTGCATCATATGAATTTGAACCTTAGTGCCTCTGGGATAAAAATAGGAGGGGGCCAGGTGTCCATGTGGCCCCAAACTGATGGGAGGAGGAGGACTACGGGACCTCAAAGCTGTCCTTGAGCTGCAAACTCTGTAACAGGGTCAGGCCTCGGGCCTTGGTCCAGTTGCCTGTGGGGTCAATTCTGGCACTTGGATTTTTCAAAAAAAAAAAAAAAAAAAGAAGACACTGCATTAACCACCCAGCCTTGTATATTCTATCTGCTCCATATCCCATATGCCTTTGTACTTCCCCTGTCGGGATACTAACCATTGACTGTTGTTACTTGTTTGACCTCACTGCCCTGGAATCTTCTCAAGGGAGGGGATCTGTCTGCCTCGTGCAGTACTGTACCCTGTGTGGGGAGGACATGCATGGCAAATAGAAGGTATACCAGAAATATTTGACAAATGGATGGATGAATGAAGGATTGCTGTCTGGCCTCAGTAATATCTCATTTCTGTATCACTGAGGCTGCCTATTCCTGGCTAAGAACATAGTGGGATTGGATTATCCCTAGCTCCTCAGAGCCCTGAGCCACACTATGGAATGATAATGGAAGCGGGTCTCAGACCAAAT